AGCTCAAAAAGACTATCGTATTGCAAAATATGATCATGTAAGCAGATTTGTATTTTTAAGTTTGCAAAGCATTTTTGTTCTCCTTTTTTTTTTTAAGTTTGCAAGTGATAATGTGATGAATAGTCTTTGTTATGATCATAACAAAATCGAACAATGGAAAACACATTTCCTTTTAGAAAAAAGAATATCATAATCATTTATATATTTTCCATCAAAATTCACAACCTCTCTCGATTGGTCAGCATAACAAGGATTAAACCATTGTCTGTTCTGAAGCAATAATTCTGAATGTGTTTTAACTTTTAAGCATCAGTTGCTTTCATCTTTTGCTAGATGGTGTTGGTTGTCTTGAAATTTTTCTTAGTAATAATGGAATTATGGAAATTTTATGCAGCTTTATGTTGACTAGAGAATGGTTTTTTTTTTTTTTCCTTTTCTTGGTAAAGAATTAATATAAATTGTTTGTTTCTTTAAATTTACTTTATACTCTAGTTTTAAACCTAAAATCCATCCTAAGCTTTATCATACCAAAAACTAGTACATGTTAAAAAAATCTTCTATGGGTAATGCTTATGGACCACCTGATCAGGCTCTTTGAAGAGCTAGTGGGCTAATCAACGACTTCATTTATATCCAAAAAAGAAAACCTTGGCAATCCTTGCTAGGTAGCTAAGCCCAATATATGTTTCAATTCCATTGTATTAATTGACAGAAAAGCATAACTGGCTCACAACCCAATATACAGTTCTTGTCAAAAGTTTAAAATAAAAAAATATTAAAAGGAATGAAGTTGAGTCCTTAAGTTTTTTTTTTTTTTTTTTAATTTACCCTTACATTTTTATCCTAGTATTTATTTAGTTAAAAATAATATTATGCACAAATTTTTTTGAATTCATAACTTTTAAATATTAATTGATGTAAAAAAAATCGTCTGATTCATTTAGTTAAAATAAAGGGCTTTGGACGTAATTTTCGTTCAAGAAAGAGGAAAAAGAGCAAAAGAAAGTTGGGATTGAATGAAGTGTAGGATGGGGAGAAAGAAAGGCATCCCAATGACCATTTCTTCTACAACAAGCAAACCCTAGGCAGCTTCTGTCCGTTGCATAAGTTGCTTGTTTCACAAGTAAAAAATTTGGGATTGAGACATGCATGGAACAACGAAAATTATAAACAGATATTTGACTGACATTAATTCAGGAGGAATTTCGGTTAAAAAATATAAGATATTTGATTAAAGGTCAACTCAAACCATGGAAACGTTTTTATTCAACTCTGATCAAAATCAACGGGGTTTAAGGTATGTTAATAAAAAAAAGTCATATCAAAGCATGAAAGAAGATTATGGCGGAAATTAAGATACGGGGTCACTATGATTGGTGTGTATGTTGATGTAGGCAGTTAAAAGGCTAAACTAATTTGGGGGATTGAATTTCAAAGTTGGTTTCTGGGCCGTATGTTCATTGGACATCCTCCGAATTAGGTTACCTACACCTCCATGCATTTCACGTACACTACCTTATTCTTTATATTTAGGAGACTGTGTCGATTTTTTTTATTTTTAATCATTATTTTACTTAACTCGTTTGAAAATATATTACACATCTAATTTATTTTAAACTCACAATTTTTAAAAATCTCACAAGCATTCGTACTATTATCATTTGAATTAATACGATCAGTTGACTTGTTAAAACATTTATTTTAATTAAAATTTCACAGAAAATTTGAATTTTCTAATTAATTTTAAGATTTTAGAATATGCAATTATGCATTAGACATCAATCTCTTTCAAAACCTTATTAATTTCCAAATAAAGAATTATTTGCCAACAGCTTTCTAATTACATTGAATTAGTCGACCAAATATAATATTTTAGTGATTATTATGATGTTAGTTTATACGCCTGAATTGATCTCCCAAGCATTCCCTACTGAGCTTTTTATGATGAATGTAGAAGATTCACTTCACCAATCATCACACATGTTTGGATTTAAGTTCTACATCCACGTGTTACAAAAAATCCCCACAGTCACTCAAGAAAAGAAAAAAAGTAGTTAGTAACAATAATGCAAACATATATATTACCTAGATCTTTAATTTGGATTGTTATGTGTTTCTTATTTATCATTTTTAAAAAAATTAAAGCTTTATTACTCAATAGTTGGTAGCTTTCTACAAAATTGGAGTTCATTTTCAATACTTGGAATTTTTTTCTCTAATTATTCTCTAAAATTTCGATCTCTCTTATAAAAAAAAAAAAAAGGTTTGAATTTTTTTCCAACTAAAAAAACTGATTGAATCCCATTCTTCAATGAAAGTTGATTTGAAAAAAAGTGTTAAACATATATTAACATAAATACTAAAAAAGCCTAATTTTGCTAAATAATGTGTGTAGATATTGACTTTAAGTTGCCCAAAACAAAATAGAGGTAGGTACCTATGACATGTATTTTTATCTTTGATTCAGTTCATATTTTATGTAATATAAGATTAGGTAGCTAAGATTCAAATTTAAATTTATATAATTTCTTTTTTTTTTTATATCCTATTATACTGGTTTCAGTATGAGTCAAAGAAATAATGTGATTTTTGTTGTCTATTTTTTACAAATTTACGTTGTGATCAAATTTGAAAATGTGGAAAGTGTAACACATGACAAGCAAACAATGCCAAACATATTTCCACCAATCTAGAAATAATTAATTAATTAGGAAAGAAAGAGAGTGCAAATGATAGCGACACAAATACTGAAAACTTTCCACAAACCAAAAAAAATAGGGTTTTTCATGGCAAAGGAAAGAAGCTTTGAAATGCAGAAAAAGAAAAACACGTTTACAGTTGGAAAGCATGAAATAATGCATGGTTGGTGAAACAAACGACAGGGACGAAGTGTTGTTTCTTCTTTACGCCCTGCTTTTTTTTTTTCAGTCAAACAAAAGAAAAAAAAAAAAAAAACCCAAAGTTTTCCAAGTAATGGGAGATGGGAGGTGATAGAATAGTGAGAATTACTTTTGTCAATGGGACACCTACCCTAATCGTCCATATAAATTATGCCCTAAAAACACAGCCAATATGGGTTCCTTTGAAAGATCTCCCTTGCACTCCCTTAAAATTAAACACTGTTTATTTGGTGCTGTGGCTTTTCTTTTATCAGATAAGCACATGGACTTCAGGATTTGATTAAGACTAGTGACCAACAAATTCCCTATCAAAAAACTTACATCAATAGAGGCATAATGCTAGAGAGGGGAAGGGATCTATGAAAGCACTTATGACAAAATAAACCAAGACACTAATATATAGTGGTAGCATCTATATGACATATCAATAATGCTCAATGGAAGACAGTACTCTTTGTCTTTGCTTTTTATTTTTTTTGTGTTTGCACTAACCAAGAAAATATTGATGTGACCATTAGGGTTTTTGAGAAATTTTTCTATATTTTCTAATTCTATGTAGCACATTAATTTTTCATTAACACTTAAATCTCAAATCATCTGTGTGATTATAAATTAGAATTGTACTCGTGGGAAAAAAAAGAGTAAGAAATAATGCAACAATATTTTGCTCTTTTTCATTTCCACTAATTCATACCATATAGTTGTACAAAGACTAAATTTATCATCTCTTAATTAATTTTTATGTTTTTTATATAGGGCGACGAAAAGATTTAAACTCAAAAATTTTTTTTGAAGTACATATCATAATTGATTATTTTATACGCCAATACCTCTTAATTAATTAAGATAATTTTCCTTTTTATGAGGCAATTAGGAGCTAAAATATTGGATAAGAAGGACCTCATTGTGAATCAATTTAGGGCCTAGTTGAAGGGATATGCCTGATTACTGAGCCAGAAACTTGTTACTATCCTCTCTTATGTCACTTTCAATTTTAATGAAATGTTGAAATAACATCTGATTTCAAAAGGCAGCCTCCCATACACTTTTATATGGATTTTCCCATCTTTGGGAAAGTGCTAGTCTATCTCATCTTCTCATTAAATGAAATAGATGTAAATGGACCCATTTTTTTGTTGTTAGGAGTCAGTGGCAGTTGAAGTTTTTGTTCTCAGATATACAATCACACTCGCGACTTTTTTTTTTTTCTTAAAAATAATAAGATGAATTTATGGATTATTAAAAAATTTCTTTTTTATTTTATTTATTTAAAAATATGAATTCAAATTTTATTTTAAAAAATTCAACAATCATTAACCATTAAATTAAATGTTCGAATTTAAAAACAAAAACTAAAGAACCAACAGAAAAAAACAACCAACGAAATAAGAAAAGAGAAGAGAGATTAAAAGATTTAAGAAAATTCAATCCCTAGACACGTCGCTAAATGATTGGGTTTTTTAAGACTTTCCAGCGACAAGATTGTCACATGAACCTCTTCCATTACTATTTTATTTTACACCTGCTCTGAACATAAAACAACAAAAACCATTATCCCCCAGAAAAAAAAACCAGAAACCACATTCAGGGCATCTTTTGGTAATTAAACAAAAGCCTAATCTGCAGACCCAATAATCGACCCTTGAATTAAAAAAATCACAATTAAGGCTGCAACACCAGAAATCTTTTGTCGAACCCCAGAAATTGGATTTTTACTAACGACCTCAAATAAAAATTAAAAATTTTGACTGCCCATTTTAATTTTTTATGAGCATCTTTCCTTACCTGAACTCCACTACAATAACAACTTTTTCGCTTAATTAAAAAAATAATTTTGTAAGTGGGTGAGATTAATTTATAAAGCTCAATGATTCATTGGGTCTAGTCAGAATCTCATCACTGCCAACCTGGGATTCTTTTGATGCAGATAATAATATATAGTATTAATTAAAAAGAAAAAGTATAATTAAAAGGGGTGGTTATAACTTCTAATCTTTAGTTTGTGGTTGAATGAAATGATTTTTGTTTCTGTTACAGTAAAAAAAAAAAAAAAAAAGGAACAGAAGCTTCTGTTTTTGGTTAATCTATGAAAATCACAGGAACCCTCCCCTCCTTGAAATTGCCAAGAATCATGGGTTGAACCCAGCTCAGCTCAAAGATCTCCAATGTCTTAATCACTCCAATTGGACTTTTTGAGAGAGAGCAGAAAGTTGCCCCCCAACAAATACAGCTGGTTAACACTAATAAGGATCAAATCCACCAGATTACGCGATCTAGCAGGTTCAAAATTGATGTGATCGTGACCCCCGTACAAAAGTTTCAAGAGAATTTGGGAAATCTTGTTCAATTAAGATTGTGTCTCAAATTATTAAAGTAGAATGTCCAATTGTGTAGAAAATGCAAGCTGCTTAGAAAATAAAAACCAAAAAAAAAAAAAAAAAACTCTTCCCATCTAATAATTAGCATTAATTAATAATTATATCTTACAAATATTGGTGCTTTTGTTATAAGATCATTGCACCAACCATACACAAATTTTACAGTGGATAATTTGGTAAGAAAAAACTCCACAAAAAAGAATTAGAAGAAGACAAAATCATTGAGAAAGCCCAAAAATAAGACAAGAATTTAAAGGGTGAAAAGGGGAAAGAATCCTCCTCTTTAAACCTAAGCATAATTGGCCACTACTAGTAGTTCATGCAACGGTCCATATTAAATTCCTTGTATATACAGCAGCCGTTCTTTCCTTTTTGACCTTTAATCCAGGTGCAAAGAATGGTTATTAGAGCTCAACTTTCATGTGGGATACTTGATTTGACCCTGCATTACAAGAATAATCATCGTTAATCAGTCTGCTATAATTGGTTTATTAATTCTATTAAGGAGCACTACTTTTACTTACCCTGGAAGTTTTCTGACTGTAATCCCATTTCCTGGCCCTGAGTTTTGCCAAACCCCATCTGAACTATGGTTTGCAGGTCATCCTCACATAATGTTGGGCACTGAATATAATTTAGACAGGCAAATTTTAGATGTTTTAGATATGTCAAATGGGAAGAAAAGGACAGAAAAAATTCATTGGGCTCACCCTTTTTTTTTAGGGAAACTATGAAAATGAAATTACCTGAGGGACAGTTTCAGTAAACTGGTTAATTGGAGGTACATGGGTGTTATGGTTGGGGCATATTGCAGTAACTAATGGGTCCACTGAGCGTTGTGTCATTGTCCCATTATAAATATTGCTATGTAGTGCTGGATTTTGCTGGGGCTGGTGCCCAGAAAAGGCTGATGCCGAGGAATTTATTGGGAATATTGGATGTGGCAAAGTGTTGTTTGATTGAAATATCTGCAAAAGAACAAAAAATACAGGCAATCCCAATTCAAAAGAATTGAAATATTATTCTCCTGAGAAAAGAAAAATAAATAAAATGTTGGCTTAAGAGCTTAGACTTACATCCTTTGACATTAAACCATCCACGTTAAAATCCAGCCTGGTATTCACTGAAGCTAACTTCATTGAGAGGAACTGCCAATAAAAAATTATCATATAACCATTAGTCAGGAAAACTTCTATCCGAAGAAACTGATCACCACACGTTTATCAATAAAAAGTTAATCTACCTCAACTTGTCTCTGCAATGATTGAACATAGTTTATGATTTCATCCAGCATTAGGGCTTTTCCAGTGACCTACAATTTGAAACCCAAGGCCATTATATAGAAGAATTACAGCAATAATTTTTTACCTAAACCACTCCCTTTTTTTTCCTTTGTTTATTATTTTCCAAATTACCTTGTTGCAACCGGGAACAAGATTTTGCAGAAGCTTCATTCTCTCACTTATTTTCTCTCTACGGACCTGATCAAGTGAGACATATAGTCAATGTTAATGCAACAACGCCGGTATGTGATTCTTGAATGTTTAGAGTTGAGAAAAGTGAATTATGATTCTCACTCTTTCAGCTAAACTATGGCTGTCAGTGGCTTGACCCCTTCTTGCTCTAACATGAATATAGTCCTTTGGAGGTTCAGGGGGCTTTGTATTGTTATTGTTTTTAGTCTTGTTCTGTTTCTCTTCCCCTGCATTTCCATTGATTCCTTTTGCATCTTCCTCTGCTTTAACAGAGCCATTTTCATGCCCATTGCTTTCTGTTGACTTGCATCTCTTCTCATTTGATTCTAAGTTCGGTTCAAACGCCTGGAGATGGATAATTACTAATTGTTAAAAGAAAATTTTTTCTTTGAAATCTACTTTTGTAATTTTGTGACTTTAAATGTTAGAACACTTTCAACTCTATACCTTTAAAGCATTCGCTGATGGAGATGCTGAAGTTTCCTTTGTTTTTGCTTTGGGAACCGCCTTTCTCTTCCTTGAATTCAAATCTTCTGAAGCTTTCAAACCAGGATCACAATTTGGATTTTGTTCGGAAATGGTGGATTCCTCTTGAGAACTGGCTAACTCTGATCGATCCTGCAATGGAGAATTCTTGTTGGTCGCTTGAACAGCTCCAACCTGAGATACCATTGGCTTTAGAGAAGGACTACTCGAAACACGCGGAAGCTTGGCATTTGCTGTCAATGGATTATATCTGTAATCAGCAACTTCATTGTTGTTGAGTCCTAATTGACTTGCTCGACCATTGAAACTCCTGCTTCCAAAGCAAGAGAATCTTGCTGCTCTCTCTGCAAATCCACGATCAGCTGAGAATTCTGCCACACTGGAATTCAACCCCATTGATTTTCCCAGACTGGGAAGCTTCTCTTTAACCAAACTATCCATCATTGGCAAGTTCAATTTAGGAGGGGAATTCAATGGAGTGCTATAGCAAGAAGTGTTTGCACTTTTGTTTACATTGATGTAAGCCGCCAACAAGGGTTGAGAATGTGGGGAGATCTCACTAGAATTACCAATGCTTCCCAATTTGCCTATCAATTCCCTGATCATAAAGCACTCATTTGAGATATTGGAATTTGATGCTGCGGGAGAGGACACCATTGAACTCAGGGCTGAGTCAAACTGTAGACCATAATCTGTTGACTTTTCCCAGTTGGGAGTCAAGAAACAATCGTGGGACTGATCAGGGGAATAACTCAGCTCTGTTGCCTGAATTTCCATGGCAGAAGATAGGGACTGCCAAGCTGACATTGGCGAAGATAAAGACGGTCCAAAGTGCAATGGCGGTGTGGGTGGTGGGATTCCTGCATTAATGAAAAACTGGTTCTCCATTGTAGAAAATTATTAGTTTCAATGTGAAAAATCCAGATCAAGAATTGAGCAATTTAAAAACACAAAAGTCCCAGTTTGATATTTTAACTTTGGCTTCTTCAAATTTCCAAAAGAAAAGAGGGTGAAATTTGAGTGGAAATGAATGAATTGTGGGATCAAAATGATTGCATTATTTTTATAGAAGAGAGGTGGTTAGAGGAAAAGGAAGGGAAGAAGATCTATTTGGTGAAGAAATGCTAAGCAAAAGGAAAGAAAAAGAGAGAGGGAAAGGGGGAAGATGTGAGTTGGGCTGCAATGGAGTTATATAGATGTAAAGAAAAGTTACTGTTTGACCTTTTTGTTTTTCTTTTTTTTTTTCCTTTTTTTTATTCAATACGTGAAATTTTTATGTTTTCCTTTTATAATTTTTATAATGAGGTAACTTAATGTTAGTACTATTAAAATTAAGCAATTATTTTTCTTGTTCTTTCCCCGTAAAAGGCGGAGAAGAGAGGGTGTCGTCGGGCCTTGGACGTCAAAGTACCAAAATGCCCTTCCTCTCTCTTGAAATTCTTAACCCGCTCGAATCCATGCATTCACGAATCCTCTTGTAACTCCTCCGTGGTTTTTCCCTTGAGACCTAGCCATTAGCCAGAGATATTAAAAGAAAAAAAAAACTAGGATTGAGATCGATTTGTACTACTAATACAATTGGTTTTTTGTTTTTTTTTTTTTTTTATGATACAACATTTTAACTAGTTATTTCATGTCAACATTAAAAAGGATGCGAAAAATCTTGTATGATATAGTCAAATTGCACGCTTGTTACTTGTCAAATCGTAATCTTTTGAATATTTTTTTTGACATTTATTAATAAAAATAAAGCGTGTATGTAGGAATGATTGGGATGGATAAATTCAGGATGATTCTTGAAATTTGATTTGTTAACAAGATAATTTCAAAATACGGTGAAAGGAAGTGACTCAGACTCTATATTTTTATTAAACAACCTGTCCAGGAAAAACAGTGGTTAATACCAACACGCCATGAATTCAATTCAAACAATGCACGGTAATATCATCATTTTTGCAGGTTAACCAAAAGCTTGAAAAATTAATGTACTTGAAAGAGTTTTGGCACCGGTACATGGGATATAGAAAGGCCAATTCCTACACGCATTAATCCCCCTTGGCCTTGGAGACCATGGAAATGCTGTTTGGATGTGAACAGGAGATCATCAACCTACCAACCTGTAGCCTTCTCCATAGCACATGCTGAATATTGCCATTTTATTTGTGCTACAGACTTCAAGTCACAAACTACTGTATCTTCATTGATTGTTTTTTATATTAACTTTACAAAGTTTTTTTTTTTTTTTAAGCTCTTAACTTATTATGAGGATAATTTTTGTTTCATGATCAATTTTTAATTTTTCCGTTTTGGTGAAACATAATTGGAGTCAAGTCATTAAGGGAAATTATTCAATCAATTCAATTAATTTTGAATTAAATTATTTTTATTAATTTAATTTAATTTTTTAATTTTAAAAATTAATTTGATTGATTCCATTAATTGAATAATAAAATATATTAAATTAAATTATATATTAAATTTTTATTTTTTTTCATATATCAACAATATAGATAATATAAAAAAAAATTAACAATAAATTTTTCTTGTGTTCAGGCTAAGTCAATCATTGCAATAATTTCCCTACCTTGCCCGTTAACTCGGCTTTGGTCGGCTTCACATTGCAAGATGACTAAAGAATTAGTTTTAAAAAATGAATTTCAAAGTTAATTTAAATTGATTTATATAAGATTTTAAGTCATATTTTATATATAAGATTATAATAAGTTAAGTTAAAATAATATTATAAATAAAATTAAATTAAATTAAATATTTTTTTATTTTATATTTAATGTATATAAAAATTAAGATATGATAATTTATTTATTTATCAAATTATCATTTTTTAAAATTATATAATTTAAATTATTAATATAATTTTTAAGAATATATAATTTTAATATCATAAATTAAAATAATCTTTTTCATTTAAAGAAAATTGAATAATTTTATATTAATAAGATATTAATATTTCTTATAATTCTTTCAAATATGATATAAAATAACTATTTTATCAATAATTTTATGTATGATCTTAAAATATAATATTTAATAAATTTAACTTTTAATTATTAAACAAATGTAATTTTTTTAATCTTTCAATTGCGATTTTTTTTATTAAAAATTTTGAAAAACTAAACTTACTTTCTTATAAATACAAGAGAAGCACGGCTTCCTATACATTATATTATTTATTGCGGTTTCCTAGCCTTAAGCCATGGAAGAACAAAGTTTGTTTCTTACAATTTTATTACCCCGTCAGACTGGGCTCTGCGAATTGGTAAAAACGTCATGATGAGAATTGCACAAGTCACTTGCTTTCTTTAATGCCATCGCTAAAGGGCTCTTGAATGGATGACAATGGTTTACCTCGGCTGGGCCACATAAGATAAGGTGGTCCACTGCCTCTTGCAATTTAATTAGTATTAAGCAAGCAAATCCTTTATTATATGTCTGGTATTTTCACAAAACACTCTGTTACTGAACTATCCTAAAGCTAGTAGTGCTAGATGCTACATCCAAGCACATGTCTAATGGTACATTAGATCCCAGGATGTTAAGAAGTCAGGGTTTGTGGTTTAGATGTATAAAGCAAAAATAGTTTTACAAAATGAATTTAAATTATAATAAAGTATTTTATAAATTTAAATTTTTTTTTAATATGAATAGATAAATTATCAATTTATTAATTAATATATTATTTAAAAATTATTAAACATTATATTAATTAATAAATTTTTTTTAATATTATATTAAATATTTTATTATAATTCAAAAACTTTTCATAACATTAAAAAAATTTAATTATTATAAATAGTATCCAAATACTAATTCGATGAAATCAGCTCATTACTTAAACTAAACAAACAATAACGAAAAATAATTATAATTTCATGATTAGTATTTTAATTCATCAATTCCTGTACAATTGCATGATTAGTGGGAGTCCATCATAAAGCAGAGTACTGTGATTTGTTATTGATGTATAATAGCTGATTAATGAGGAGTCAGTACGTCTTTTATATATCCTAACTAAGATGATCTTTTTCTTTAATTATTAATTAATACCCTCGAACTCAATTAAAATTTGCAGCTGTCATATAAGAGTATTTTTTTTTCTACATTAATTAGTGTTTAATTAAATTGCATCATTATTAGGAGTAATCAAGTCAGATTTTAAATCATCATAAAAGATATAGGTTAAAAATTAAAGAGTTGTTTTAATAATAATAATAATAATAATAATAATAATAATAATAATCTCCACATGTATATTAGGAATTTTTTCCCACAATAAGTAAAGTTGCATTTCGTAAAAATTACTTTTTAGAATAAAAACATAAATTAATTTATCAAAATTTTATGTTTAATATTTTTATAAGTTTTTTTTTTAAGAAATTAATTTAAGAAGGATATAAGAAACTTTTTTAAATATTTAAAAAAATTATTAAGTTTTGGTTTTCTTTATTTATTAGTACACTTTTCCAACATTTTTATGGAGTTTTAGAGAAATTATGTCCTACCTCAAGAATTTTCAAAGATTTTTCTTAAAAATTTCTCATTTTTTCAAAAGATTTTTCTAAAATAGCATCTTGGCTCTTGGGGTAATCATTATATCACAAAAGTGTTATGATTGTTGAAGCAAAATTTCTCTAACATGTATTAATTTCGTGGGAAGATGAACATCAAATTATGCACGTATTATTATGGATTAGGGTGATCTCTGCCTAGTTTGCAGGTTCATCCATCCTAATAATTTTTGTTGTTGAATGAATGAGAAAATAGTATTCATGACTATAAAGAGATAACCCAAAAGAAGAAAAAGTATTTGCATCTTAGCCTATATATAGTTAGTTAGGTATAAAGAAAATAGAGTTTAATATATCCATTTTATTTTGTCATTAATCTTTAAAGTAGAGCCAAATTAAAGATATTTTTCAATGGCACTTGTACAAGCCTAGCAGCAAAATTTCTTTTTTGGGGGGACTTTAATTTGATAAATATATATCATATTCATTTTTTTTTTTTCAAAATGAAAAATATTCCATGTCTGAGCCGGCAGGCACACTTGCTTTAATATTGGTTACTGGTCTCTTTCTTTGAACAATAATTTTTTTTTTTTTATTCAAAGGAAGCCTTCATCAATGAGAGGCTTTTGCCAACCCTCGTGATCAGCCGCAACCCTCTTATTTTTCATCTATATAAAAAGAATGATATCCGTTTTGGCTTAAATTGAAGAAGAAAAAGAAGGAGAAAATTGCAATCATTTATAACTCAATTTGGATAAATATTTATGAAAGGAAATGGATATCATAATGCAGTGCTTAATCTCAATATGGCCTGACATATATGAATATATATATATATATATGTATAATTGAACTTGACTCATATCGGAATAATACCTACAATGGAAGAACTCGTGCATGATTTTAATGTACGGATATCAATATCTGCCAACCATTTTTTTTCCATGTTTGATTTATTACAATTTGTGATGTAAAATGCTTGAAATTCACTAGTTCTATTTCTCATGAATTATGATCATTTTTAACAAATCTAAAAGGTTTTTTTTTTTTATAAGGGAGACATGAATTTGATCTGTAGAACCGCACCTAATTTTTTGCCATTTTATAAAAAAATCGAACAAATTCTTAAAACTTATTTCTAAGGGATTTCATCCTAAAAAATAAAAAAATAATAATAAACAGAAAAAGTGAGGAAATTAAAAAAACATATATGGTTGATTATTTTCAATCATTAAAACCATATATCAAATGCATGCATGGTTTTGAATAATGGTCAAAATTCAACAACTCCTTGGGACCTCATACTTGTCTCTGTGGCATGGCTGACCAGGTAGCTCCTACCGTCCTATTAAATTATTCACCTACACCTGTATCTTCATCATCCGGAATCTATGGCCAGGTGGGGGGTTTCAGCTGATAGATTTAGAAGCAATCCAGTTAATATACATTATGCAGGAAAGAAAAACGTAGAAGTAAAGCTCAAAACCAGTACCGACTACGGAGTTTCCACCTATTTAAAGTATGGCTTGAGCTTTAGATAATTTAAAATATTACATAATAATATAATATAAGTATTAAATTTAAAAGTAATATAATTTAACATTTTAATAATTATTATATATAAATTTAATAAAATTAAAATAATTTATATTTTTATATTTATATAATTTATAATATATAATTTTTATATAAAATATCATATAAATTTATAAATTTTAATATTTTACATAATACAAATATATAAATACATAAATCATTAAACCTAATAGTTGCGATATCAGATTTCCTCCCCGCTATTGGTCCCCATTTCACGGAAGATTTTCCCCCTGTCAAATTCGACACGAGAAAGTAATTTGAAATAAAACAAGTTCAAAAGAAAACCTTTGAGAGGGCCAGTGCGCAAAGGCAAATTTCTTTTTATAAAAAGCGCAATCAGCTTTCGTCTTATTGGATGACAAAAACTGCTTTTCAGCAATGCTGTGATTGGAAGCCCACAAACAAAAAATGTAGAGAGTGTGTGTGTGCAATGCATGTGCCCCAAAATCTCTATCAAATGTCGCAAAGGGTCCAAAATCCAACTCGAAATCCCATCATCGTCCTCACAAAACAGAACCTGGAAAAATAATAATAAAAAAAGTTATTTATATCTATCCTCGTATAGTCTGTTTGGTTGTAATCACTGATCAGCATATTTCAGCAGCCGAACAGTTGGAATATTTAATCACACTTTTTAAATCAAAAGCCCATAGAACGAAACATGCAATTGGTTCCAATACAACAGGCAGTGCAGGCCAGCTTGCTGGCTGACGACTCATCACACCCCCTTTTTCTTTCACTCTTCCGGCTGTTCTGTTCCTTGTCTCGTACTTGGCATGACATGGGTTTAGTTAATTAAAGCAGCTTAATGTATAATAAAAATTATAATCAGATAAGAACGAGTAAAGATCCAGAAAAAAAAAAAATTGTTTGTGAAAGCTTGATTTAAAGGTCATGTGCATTGCTGGTGGAGTGTTTAACTTTGTTCAGATATATTAAAAAAATTATTACGTACAAATATTAGTTCAATTGAATTACTGGGAAACTACGTAAGAGGAATAAGATTATATCTGTTTTTATAAACTATGGTCGGTGCGTTGTCAAAACCAGAAATTGTTAAAACTAGCGGCCGAACAACAGGGTAAACTGCCAAAACATAGGAGAGTAGGCGTACAATACAACAATACGCGGGAGAAGAATTTTGATAAGTTCACCGTCACAGGCCAATGAGATCTTAACTTTGCATTGACTTTTTTTTTATATAATTAACCAAGCTTACGCCACTCTTAACACGTTGGTTAGGGATGCTTAAAAGGAGTTAGGACGTAGGTCCAAGATCACTGGCGGATTGTAATTGTAACCTGAGGGGCCCTGGCCCTCCCAAAATTTTGAAAGTCCTTTAGCATGTGTATATATATATTTATATTAAATATATTCAAATTGGTTTTTAATAAAATTATATTAATTTTATTTTTTTGTTTTATAAATAAAATTTATATATTATAATTTAAGATATGTTCAAATCACATTAAAATTAATAGACTTATTATAAATTTAAATCACAATCAAATAATTTTAACAAAAATCAAATTAATTTTTTAACTTTTGAATAAAATTTAAATTTTCAATCAAGTACCAAATATGTTTTTATTTTTTATCTTTTTAGTACAAAGAGATTGAAGTTTAAGAGATTTAAAGAAAGAGGAAAAAATATTTAGCTTACTACAACTCTTTTTTTCATATATATATATATATATATATTTATTTTAGATCACTATTACATATTGTTGTAATTCTTTTTTCAAAATTAAAAAAAAAAATCATATTTGAACTAATTTACAAAAGGATAGAAAAATATCAAATTTTTAGTCTCAAAATTTCATCTTCATTCTTTTAAAAGTATATTTAGTTTTTCTTATTTTGATAAAATATTTAATGATTGATTTATTCGTACTTTTTATTTCACTTTTAAATTGTCAAAAAAAATTTATATAATTAGTAATTTAACAATTAATTCCAAATAATGTTATTGTTAAAGTATAATATTATTATAATAATATTTTTGTTTTATAATTTTATGCGTTTATAATAGTACATGTTTGCATATATATATATTAATAAATATGATAAAATATGTCATACAAAAATAAAATATATTATATACTATTAATTGATCTCTCAAAATTATATGTTAAGATCGACCGATGCCCAATATTATAACTTGTAATTAGTTGTTGTTTTTGGTTGGCCCAATTTAAGAAATTTAAGGTTTGGGCTCCAATAGGGATTCACTTGGGTCAGCCACTTAAGTCTTTAAGGACTACTGACTTTAGGTTAACAACTTCATAAAATTTATATTGGCAGCGCTGCCTTGTCAGTACATTTTGAGGGGCATAAAAGTTGGGTTCAGAATACTATATGAAAAAAATATGAAAATAAATTAATTTAAAATATTAATAAAAATTAAAAAATATATTTTATATTTGATATTTCATCACGAATTATAATAAATATGATAAATTTTATATTATATATATATTTATATAAATAAATAGATATTTAATTTTAGTCTATTCAAAAACATAACTCATGTACGGATAATTTATTCAGGCCAGTGAAAATTGGAAACTCTGAAAACTGTCCTAGGCCATTGACTTGGGCAGGTTACAATTCACTAAAGATTTTTATTATTTGATATTAGTGATAAAAGGGCATTTCAATTAAATTTTTTATTAAAAATGGTTGAAATATTAAAAAAAAAAATGAATTATTTTTTAAATAATTTTTATACTTTTATTATATTTAAATAAATCTTCATACTTTAATTTGTATTCAAATAGATTCTTATTTTAAATGAAAAAATAATTTATGTTTAGAGTTTATTTAAGTACAAATTAAAAATTTAAAGACTTATTTAGATAAAAAAAAAATGAAGTTTCAAGACTTATTTGAGTTTAAATTAAAAATTAAAATTTATTTAAATACAATAAAAATATAAGAACTTATCTAAGTAAAATTATAAAATTCAAGAACATTTTTGTTATTTTAACATATTAAATATTAAATCAAATATTCATTTTATTTTTTTAATTGACAAACCTTAATCACATGCATCAACCCTATTTCACTAGCACTTTAACTTTGCTAATTTATTGTGATAATAATTTAACTTACCCAAAATAGATATCTCAAATTTTAATGCCTCTCACACAACTCAACTTTAAAAATTAAATTGGCCAAAAAGAACTTTAATAAAGAATAAAATGAAAACCTTCCATATTATTGAATATTGAGAAATATTATTAATTATTAAGCATCACACTTACTTCCTTCCACTTTGAAGTTCGAAACTTTGCATATCATATTTCGAATAAAAAAAAAAATCAAGGGCAAAAATTTCGATCTTACACTTTTTTTTTATTATTTGTTCATTTTGAATTTTTTTATGTTGTAATAAAAATTGATTGATTAAATTTTAAACCTTATGTTTATGAATAAATTGAAGTTTTATAATTAATAGATCTAATCTTTAAAATTTTTTTACATCAAAAGGAAAAAATAGTAAGAAAAAAAGAGAATAATATATAACATTACTCAAAAATTAAATCTAAAATGTGCAATCATGTCTTAAACATTACATACATTACAAAAGAATACTAACATATCTTTGTGATCAAATATCAATGTGACATAATACTAATGAATATTACTATATTCTTTTTCTATTTATTTGTGAATAATAATTACATAATAGTATTGGTTAAAAATTAAAATCTTCAAAATCTTAGGTAATGATGACAAATACATTGACCTCCAAAGAGTAAACTTTCTACTTCCCGCATGCTTACAATATAAATCCAGAAGAATCCTAAGCCCTAAACTTTCTCCCCAAGTAAGCCCCCATCTTCCATTAAAATGCTAGAGTAAATCTCTGTTACCACTTCGTGTTTCAAAACGCAAAGCCCTAAAACTAAAACCCCTTCAAACCATGGCAGTTCCCTAAGTGGTTAAAGTGATTTTCATTTTGGCACCTTTTGAAAACCCTATACTTTTGACGTTATCTCATTGTTTCTTGATAAGTGTTTTCTCTGTTTCTTGAGTCATGGCTCAAGAAGATAACTTTTTTGCCCTCTTGGGTGATGAGGAAGGCGATGACATGTCCAAACTGATCGACCGCGTAAAGCAGGAGGAGATGACGAACACTTCTAAGGTGCAAAAGAAAAAGAAAGAAGAGAAAAAGATGGCTCATCAGATTCCTACTGATATGCGGGCCAAGAGACTTGTTCTTCCCAGCCATGGTAATTATATGCTCAACATTCTCGTTTTTTAATGTAGTTTATGTTGCAAACGTTGATGGGTGTGTAAATTTATTTGGTGCCAGGTTGCTTTGTTAATCAGGTTCTCGTTGTATACATGGGGCAGGAAGTTTGCTTTTAAAATTTTGATTTTACTTGTTTAAATTCTTGAATTAGAAAACTTTATGCTTTTGTTTTCGTTGTTAATTTTTTTTTTAAAATAAATCATTATACATTGCATATATGAATGTGAGATTGTAATAAAATTTTCTGTTTGATGTGAAATTAATTGTCATGCCACAATGGTATGGTTCTTTTGGCAAAACTTGAATGAATATTATGAATTCTTGCATCTATAACATTCAGTTGATTTGTGGATTTTTTTTTTAAGCATTAGTTAGGTATCCATTGTGTTGGAACAGGTTTTTTTTTTTTTTTTTTTTAATGCTTTAATTTGGTTCTTGACCAATAAGCCAATATCCCTGATTATTCTTTATTTTAAAAAAAATTATTTTCTATACTAGTTAAAAGATCGTTCATTGTATTTGACAAGAAGAAAGAGAGAGAAAAAACAGAGGCTGAAGCCAGAAAGAAGGCCGAGGATTCGGTGGAGAGCAATGGAGGGCAGTCCACTACTTTGAACAGTTATCATAGAAAAAATGGAGGAAGTTATATATATCAGAGAAATAATGGAGGGGATAATGTCTATCAGCAAAGCAATGATTATAATGGTTATATTGAGGGCAATTATAGAAGGGTTAATGGCTACCAGCCAAGGAATAGTGTTCAATATATGGGTAGTTACAAAGGGTCCGGTGGCAATCAACGGTACTATCGGAACAATAATCGAGTGTCAAATGGAGACCAGTTGAATAATGGTGCTGATCCCAGTGGCAATATAACTGATGATGGTTGGCAATATGTTGGGCGTGGGCGCCGTAATAATAGAGTGGTAACTTACCAAGAACATTTGACCCATAAACAAGATGGGATTAAGCATGGAAGTTTTGAGGAGTCTAACAATTCTGAGAAGGATTTAGAGAAATCTGTCAATGAGGATAAAAGTGATGACATAACTGAAAACAAGGACCTTGTTGAACAACAAGAGGTCGAAACCGAAGTGCAAGGGTATGCCTTCTTTATAGTCTTAGCTCATTTAGTTTTTGAAAACCTCAGCTATGCAAATACCATTTCTCTGCTGCCATTTTTCCTTTGGTTACTGATGTTTGTTATCTAAACGTATAGGCATCTTCCTGTGAGTACTGAAGGACAAGAAGATGATCAGTCTGAAAAGAAGTCCTCCGACGGACAGGATGGTGCTAAATCTGAAAAGAAGTCCAAGAAGAAAGAAAGTCAAGACATTTTTGAGAAGAAGGATGAAAAGGAAGAAGAGAAGAAAAATGTACTGCTATGGCTATAATTGAATTTTGTTCAGACTTCATAATCTTAGCATTTGTTGCTCTTAAATCTTAATGAACTTACTAATCAGTGCATGTCTTTTTGTTTTTGCAGTTAATGACTCTTGAAGAATACGAAAGGAAGATGCTTGAAGATAGAAAGATTTTAGAAGCTTTTAAAAGGCCTGAGCAGAGGAAAGTTGAAGACAAAGATTTTGAGTCCATGCAACTTATTGGGAAAAAGAAAGAGGACGGCCAGGTTGTGAGTGAAGGAGTGTCTACAATTCACCATTTTAGGTTAACTATATCTGTAACTATAATTGACTAATCGAAGCTCATTTTTATATCTGTTACCAGAAATCTGAAGAAAGGCTTAAGAAGAAAGACAACATTAAGGAGGAAAAAGTTCTCAAGGTAATGTATATATCCTGGCTTTCTTCAATAGTTGTTATGCTAAATCAGATATGTAAATTACTGATCTTTTAATGTGCATTTCAGACATTAAGCATCAATGAATTCTTAAAATCAGCCGAAGGTAAGACTCCTTATATGCGGCAGAGGTGGAATGGTGACAGACCTTATGGCAGGCGTGATACAGTGAGGTTTAATAGAAATGGTAATGGAGGTAGGCATGACGGAAGGAGGCCTTATGGCCAAGGTGATGGGGATTATGGACATAATGGCATGGATGCTGAGGAGAGTCCTAATGGAAGAAGGTATGCTGGTGATAGGCACAATAGCAAGCGTTATGGTGATGCTGAGAATGGACCTGGTCTTGCTTCACCCCCTCCTAGCTTTTGCTTTGAGCATCATGAATTTCCTGCTTTAGGATGAAATGGAAAAGCCTGAACTACTGCAACGTATAGAATTAATGCTTGATGAATTTTTCTAATAATAATAATGAGATTTTTTACTTTCTTTGACAGAAGCTTTCTTCACATTATGCTCTTGTTTCCGCAGGATCCCTTTTTTTTTTTTTTTTCCCATTTTTCATGGCTTGTTTGTTTTTGAGCATTTCATATGCTTTTTTCTTGTTTGTTTGCCTGCGTCCAACATGCTCTCGGATCAATCCATAACCATACAAGTTAGACATACCCTCTAAAACTGTTAAACTATAACGCAAATGAAGCCGACAATGTGACCAGGGGAAAACGTGGCAATCAGGCTACTTCCTATTCAACGCGTTGGCTCATTATTCGACCAGAATTGAGTGACTGATTAAAAAAAAGTATTGTTAAAATCATCCTTTTTTTGTGGCATTCGAATTGGGGTCAGAGAAGAGGCTACAAAAACCACATACTAGTTTTTTTTTTCTAATTTTTAATCTTAATATTTATCTGATTGAAAGAAATATTCCAATCATAAATTGTTTCTTACCGATTAACTTCGAACGGCAATTTCACTTGCATTCCAATTGATTCAGAAGTCGGCAAAACCACGTATTACTGTTAGCAGCAGGGTAATGTTCAATATTTATTGGTTTATTACATATAAAAAAAAAGGTCAGAGGATTTGATATCTTGCTGTGTCAGCCATGGCATCACATCATGTTCTCAAATCTCAACTTGACAGAAAATCTTTCTTTCTATCTCTCAATTCTTTTTTAAAGATATCTTAAAATTATATATATTTTTAAATATCTAAAAATTTTTATATATTTTTATTTTTATATAAAAATCATAAAATTTTCATTTTAAAAAATTAATTTTAATATTAAATATATTAAAATCTAAACTTTTTTCTTAAACTCTGTAAAAATCAATAAATCAAATAATTTAGGACAAAAAAGAGTAATATACAACATGTGATATCCATGATTTTGATTGTTTATCTTTCAATCTATAAATCTTTTAAAATCAATGTAGCATTATTTAATTGTTTAAATTGTAACAATAAATTTTCAAAAAATAAAAAATTATTTCATTCATTATTTATTTAATTTTTAAAAATTATAAGTAAATTTATTAGAATGATATATAATTCTTAAATCTGTTAAAAAATACAAAATTAATTTTAAAAAATATATGTGACATATGAGAAAACAAATATGTACAAATTAATATGTTACTATATCATACATTAAATAATGCATAGAAATATCTAGCTTAGTTTTTTCACGTTGTCCTCAGTACTCTCGTGGACTTGGAAAATGCGTGGTGTTTGTCAAATCAATCCCCGAAAAACAGAAAACAGCATTATCCAAATGTAAAATATAAATCTCATCTTAGGCCATCATTAGTCACGCTGTGAATCATAATCCAACAGAAACAGGAAAAAAATTTTCAGTCTCAGTCTCTCACCCTTCCCTTTCATGAAGAGGCAACCTCAGCCTTCAAAGTCTTCACCAGGGGCCCATCTCACACCCCTCCTGTCCCATTAACATTATCAGCATCTACGTGTCACCTCAACCCAAACAACGTCCGCTCTATAAAGTTTTACGATTAAAATAAATAAAGCAAATTAAAATCAAATCACATCCGCCCACCTCACAACCTGATATAACCCGAATAAACCTTTGGTACCGTTGGATATGCTACCACTGTACACCCTTAAGCCGGATATGAATCGGGTATAGGTATATCCCTTCAGCTTTTGAAGTCTCAAACTTTTTTTTTTTTTTAATTTTAACCCCTACAAGATCGAAAGCACAACTGATGCAAACACTTCATTGGAATATTCGAAGTAAATTCTCCACAAAATATAATTTTTTCCTTTTTTGCAGATAAAAAATGGTTTCTTTTTAAAGAACCTCAGATATTCGCTTCGCTAGGCCAGTCTCTCCGTTTAACTCGAACTAATCCAAACCAAAACCTCCTTAAACCCGCAAAACACCAATATACGACATCATATAGAAATTTCGATGGCTAGTTTTGGTAGAAGAATAAAACGAGTTACTGACCCGCTCGACGACAGAGTCAAGGCTCGCCTCGTCGGCATTAGTTACACCAGCAGCGGAAGCGAACACTCTGCTGCCGCCGTCGCCGAAGATGAATCTCCCTGCCTCTCGGAACTCGTTCATCGTTTCCTGGAAGACGACCACGATGCTGCTGAACAAACCGGTTACAACTCTGACTCCGATCGAGTCGACTCAAACCCTGATACTGCTGGCTGGATCGAGATCATCATCAAGTCAACCGCTGTTAACAACACGGATTCGTACAGGAATTTGCTTATGGCTCATGTTGTGAAAGCAATGGAAATGCTTTCATTTTTCAAAACGGATAAAGCTATTTTCAGGCGTAAAGTAATGGCTTATCTTCGCGAGGTAGGCCACAATGCGGCGATTTGCAAGACAAAATGGAGTTCCTCGGGAAACCTAACGGCCGGAAACTACGAGTTCATCGACGTGGTACAATCGGTACCACCCACGTGGCAAAACCGGTACTTCATTGACCTCGATTTTGACTCCGAGTTTGAGATCGCGAGGCCGACGAGCGAGTACTCGAGGCTATTGCAGTATTTGCCTAGAGTTTTCGTGGGACAAAACGAGGAATTGAAAAAGATCGTCAAGGTGATGTGTGATTCGGCGAAAAGATCGTTGAAGAGAAAGGAGTTGTCCCTCCCTCCTTGGAGGAAAAACCGTTATATGCAAAACAAATGGTTCGGTCCGTACCGTCGAACGACGAACCAAATCGCCGCGAGCTCCAGCTCATTAACCCCTGCGAATATCCATCCCGCCAATGTTGTTAAATGCCGTTACGTTGGCTTCGACGTCGCCGTCAACGGCCGTTTGTTTGTCCGTACGAGATGATAATTTGGACAAACGAGAGAACAGTAATAGAAAGAAATGGGAGGAATATTTGTCATCTTTATTAATAATCACTCTATTTTTCTTAGATTATTTTTTTTTTTTTTGTATGTATCGTGAAAAGACAATTGAAAAAAATTGTGTAACGCGGCAAATACACATTGCGTACGAGGCGACCACAACGAATAGCCAATTACAACACGTAGTTACCGGGTAACCTGAAAATAAAGGGAAAAAAATGTACATTAGATATACATCACAGGCTGGCTTGTGTGTATGTGCGTAGTGGAGCAGTGGGGTGAAAACATGGCTGAGCAAAAACAAAAATAATATTATTTTTATAGATTTAATAAAAATTAAAAATGTATTTTATTTTTATAAATTACAACACAATGATTTTTATATTTTATATATAATATAAAATAAAATACATAAAATTAATTAATATTAAATATTTTTTTCTTACAGATATTTTCATTAATTTGATATTTAAAAAAATAAAATTTTATTCTAATAATTAAGTGATAATGATATATGAGGATTTAATAAAATTATATTATGTATCATAAATGTATTGTTATTCTAACGTTAATAAAAGTTTTAAAAAATAAAACAATAAATCTAATTTTTTAAAAAATTAAAAAGAAAAAGAAAAAAGAAAAGATCAGGAAATGAGAAGGGGAAGGGGAAGAGTAAGAGAGGAAAAGAGACAGCGCCGTCAGCTAACTTGAGGTCGGATCGAGGTCACGCCGCCTGGGACTTGGTAGATCGGCCCCGAGCTGGCTCAAACAAGCCAATTAACTCACATCCGTCAGGTCCAAGGTTTCTGACCTGATCGGACTTTGGAGCTTATTTTTCCTCTCTCCTTCCTCCGTTCCCTTTTTTCTTTTTTTATTTATTTTTTTAATTTCAAATTAAAAATTATATTTTTAAAATTTTTTGATTTTTTTGATAATAACATAAAAAACAAATAATATAAAAATAATTAAATATTTATATCACATATCATAATTTTATTAAATATTAATGTTACGTAATTAAATTGATTTTTAATATTAGATTGAAGTATTTAAATGTTTTAAAAAATAAAAATTTTATTTTTTTAAATATTAAAATAAAAAATATAACAAAAAATATTTTTATATTTTACCATTCATTGTTATCTCTAAATTTGGGCCAACATGTTTTTTAAAAGTGGGGCAAAGGCCACTTAGTGAGGGAACAGGAGTGGTGAAATGGATAAGGAATTTTCCTTGGTTTTTTCGGCTTTTGAGAGAGAGAAAAGGTAAGAGCGGGGAAATAGAGTCCTACCGTATCCTAAGCTTTTGTCATAAGGATAAGGGCCGATAAGGGAGGGGGCATATGAAGTGGCCCAATGGTTAAGCGGGTGGCTAGTTCTGGGTGGGATAGGCCCTGCTTTGGGAACGGGCATGAAATTTGCCTTTTCCTATTTAACTCGGGAGTACCAAATGGCACTCCTTTTTTCTTTCGTAGGGTCGAAAGATCTTTTAAGTTCCCTTTCTTTACTCCACAAGAAACGTTTAAATCTATGGGCTATGGCCTATGGGTTTGGACTTGACTCTGCTCTTTGTCCTTGGAAGACTATAACTTATTATTGTCTAGCTCCTAAGGTGCAATTTTTTTTTTTTTTATAAAAGAGTCTCATTGTTTTATTTTAAGCTCCATTTGACATAGATTTTTATCTTTAATTTAAAAATAAATAATAAATAAATCAATAAATAAATAATAAAAAACAAAACATCTATTAATAATAATATAAATTAAATGAAAGGAAATAGTTTTTATGAATGAATTGATTCAGACTTTGAACAAACATTGTAAAGTATTATCTATATTTTGATCGACTTGACATGATGCATGAATATCTCTAAAAATGAGGCACATGAGAGAAAGGGAAAGAATAAGTGATCCAAGAATGTAAATTATTTTTCTTGAGTTTTCACTTACCATAATATAGAAAAAATTGAATCAGACTGATCAGTCGGATTGATTGAGCCAGGCATTGATCAAAACCCTAGGTTAAACTGGATCAGATTGCTTAGCAACCCAATCTGTTACCAACCCTATAAACTTTCTGATTCAAAATAGGGGTTAGTGTTGGATGTCTAGTTTGGACAGATAGGTCATTGACCCAATGTAGGTCTCCTGTCGTCTCTGAACTTCTTAACACAACAGGCGGCCCGCGATATCATTAGGCTCATAGGTCCCCATTGCGGAGTTGGAACCCAACTGCACTTATCAATGGGCCTAGATACTGCCCTATGGCCTCTCTTTCTCTGAGTCATTGGGGACCCGGTTGTTTATTGCATAAAATTTGTAAGCTTTAAGGCATCCGAAAAACTTCAACATGAAGACAGTACATCATATATGATGAACTCTTTAATAGCCTTAAAATGTCCCATTTGATAGACAATATATAATTCTTTATATATTTCTTGTTATGTCACTAAAACTTAATTGGTTGTCCTGTGACACCTGTCCCATGTATTATAGAATATTCCAACGTATCTTATGACTACTTGAACTGAAACACACCTGCCCCCCAAGCGTAACCAAAAAAAAAAATTGAAACCGAACTAGTTACATGGATGAACTAGTGCTGTTCAATTATTGTCTATTTCATGCTGTTCGAGGTATTTGGTATAAAGCCAGAAACATTCCTTTTCTCTGATGAGAGAAGTCACGATCTTAGGAAAACGATAAGATGAAAAGTATTGGCTATTGGGTACTAAACTAATTTCATCATTTTTTATGACTGCCGTAAGTTCTTCCTCATCGCGACAGAAATGAATTCTTCCATCCGATCAAGCACTCAATTCCAAAAGCTAAATTCCAAACTTTATCAAGCTAAAGTCATTGCATCCAACCATCTGGTATCTTTCTGACTCTCTTAAAAGCCATGCTATCTTGTCCTCAAATTAAGGCAAAGAAAAGCTCCTTATCCCTTGAGAATGACATGTCTGTGTTGCGCTCGGGACTATCAATTTTTGAAAAAAAAAAAAAAAAACAATGTATGAGATAAATATAACTTTATTGCGTCTGATTAGAGCAAGTAAAATTGATATAAATGAATTCAATTCGATCTGATAAAAATTTAATAATTAAAAATTATTCAATTTAAACTTAAAATAATGTGAACACGAGTTAACTTAATCTAAATGATCAAATAATATAAAATTTAATTGGTTTTAAAATTTAATTATTTAAATTAGAAAGATTTAAATTTAAATAACTCAAATGCTTAATTCGAAAATTTTGTTTTTGAAATAACACAAATACGAAATGATAAGAGTTTGAAAACTTGGTTTTTCTTCAAATTGAAATGATTGATCAAATTCAAAATCGTATCTATTGCATAATTGCCACCTCTATGACTAATTTATAATAGTTTCAACAATTATTAATTTAATAGCAATATATGATTATGATTCCTTAATATTGAACATTGGTCCGTGAAATGGAGCTAGCACTCTTATGCATGTGTTTCATACTTCACATGATGTGCCATTAATTCCAAAGATAATCTTCAAGTACAAGATCCCATAACAAATATTTAGTTATTTACGCAGCTAATATTTATATTAATTTCCCATGTATATATTAATGCTGAATTCATAAACAAGTCACCAAATTGGATCTAGCTTCCTTAATTTATTCAGATTATCCATGAAACCAGTTTGCTTGCTCCTTCACCTTCCTCAGCTGCTTTTGCTCTCGGTCTTCAATTGTTTTGATGACAAACAAGAATAACTAGGGAAGGACCCAAAAGCAACCCACCCTTTGTTAATTTATCTAAATTTAATAATTTGTGTTTTTTTGGAGATGTCCATATCACTCTCAAAGTTAATGTATTGTGTTAATTAAGTTCACGCTAGCGAATCTTTTCATATCATCTTTAGTTTGGTTTTTTTAATTGATTAGTTCATGAGCTTCTTTTTTCTTAGGAAATGGGCATTAAAATTTTTTAAAGTAGATATTCTTTTATAAACCTTATTTTAGCTTTAGTTTAATTAATTGCTTTTATATTCCAGGTTGGATATAGTGAATTATATAGTTACAAGACAAGACTACATCTTTCACTTTGATGGTTAGCTAGCATTTCTATTAAAATGTTTATTGTTTTTACAAAAAAAAAAAATGTTAATCCATACACAGTAAAACTGAGTAAGGAGATATTTAAAAAAATGTATAATAAAGATTTTTTTTTTCAATATGATGAAGGTAATTTATTAAATATAAAAAATTAAAATAGTAATTAAATAATTTTTAATCATACCCATAGATACCTTTTAATGGGATCCTGAAAATTTATAATTAATATATTATTTTTAAAAATTTAATAAATAATGCATTAACATAAATATAAAAGAGAGAAAAGCATATTTGTGAAAACATGACAAAAAAAAACATTTTCCAATAAAAATTAAAATGATCCTTCGACGTAATCAATTTTATCATAAGAAATTTCAAATTCAGATAACATGAGTAAATACATACAGGCGTAATTAATTTTATATTTTTTTAATCATTGATTTTACTAATTCAAAGAATCTCATTATTTGAATTTATTAAAATTAATAGTTAAAAAATATATAAAAAATTAAAAAAATTTAGATTGATATAAATTGATATCTCTCATATATATATTTATGTTTTAGTTCCCATTAAAATTACTATATTACCCTTTAAATTATTTGATATGTGTGCAAAAGTACGATAGTATTGCACTTTTACACTCATAATAAAAAAAAAATTGTAATGTTTTTCATTTTATAATCGATCAAAATTATTATAATGTTCTCTTATCATAATTGACTAAAATTATTATAATAATGTATTTACCATGATTATATAATGACATGACATTTTGTTTGACTTTTATTATAATATATCTATTAAATTACATATTAAATTTTATTATAATATAAAATTAATTATATATTAAATTACTAAATATCATTATCATTATTTTATGAAAATTACATAAAACTTAACTATACATTAAATTACTATAATAAAATAAATCTATATA